AGTCAACCTCTGGACCTCAGAAAAAAATTATGCTGTGGAGGGTGTCATACCCTTTTCCACCACTGGGGGCAACATTGCCCTGCTGAAGAAATGATGAGATCTGTGTGTCTGTATGTGGTCTTCCATGCCAGCTGAGAACTTGACTCCCTGTTCAGCCAGCACTGGTGATACTGGAAAAGCTTCTGATCCACCCGAGCTTCCTTTGCAGCAATAATTGTGCGCTACCTTTTCCCACCAACAGGTGTCATACCCTTTTCCACCACTGGGGGCAACATTGCCCTGCTGAAGAAATGATGAGATCTGTGTGTCTGTATGTGGTCTTCCATGCCAGCTGAGAACTTGACTCCCTGTTCAGCCAGCACTGGTGATACTGGAAAAGCTTCTGATCCACCCGAGCTTCCTTTGCAGCAATAATTGTGCGCTACCTTTTCCCACCAACGGATGGCGACATTCGGAAAGAGTTGGCTGCACCTAACCTTCTTTTGCAGCAATAAGAGTGTGCTATCTTTTTCTGCCACTGGGTGGCAGGCAACACTGGAAAAGCAACCAATCAACATGAGCTTTCTTTGCAGCAATAAAGGTGCTTGCCTCTTTCCACCACATTGTCAAACTACAGGCTGGGGGGCAGGAAGAATGTTTATAACATTCTTGACCCTTGTTGCATTGGGAAGGATTATTCTATGTGCCACCTGCCCTTGCAAGGAAAAGGGCATAATGCCTTTTCCCACCTGCAAATGGCAACATTGGGAACAAATCTTAGAAGCATCACCTTCCATTGCACAAAGTACAATTACGCTTCTCGACCGCTGCCGTGCAGCAACACTGTCATGTCGCGAAAGGACGTTCTAGTTGCGACCTTCCATTCGCAATAAAAGGCCATGATGCAGCCAAGGATGGAGACACAAGGGAAAAAATGTTTTAGACGCTGGCATTCATGGCAACAAAAATGTGCAGTACCCTTTTCACCCAGCTGAGGGGGCACAGGGGAGACACAGGGATACAAATGTTTCCATGGCAACAGGTGCAGTTATTCTTCTCAGCCTCAAGGGGATGCCACTGTTGTGCCAAGGAAACCGTTAATGTTTTCCACGACTTGCCACAGCAACACAAGGCATCAGGGCACTACCTGGCATGACACTGCCATGCTGGGGAGAGACTACTGTACTCTATGTGCCACTTTCCCTTGCAATAAAAAGACAGCCGAGGAGCCTTTTCTACCAGCAGGTGGTGACACTGCGACATCAGGAAAAAGGCTCTTCCACCCCTCAATTTGATACCTTTTGTCTCCACTAGGTGGCAATATTGTCACAGCAATGTTCTAAATATGACCTTCTAGGCAGCACTCACCTAGGTGTTATACCTTCCCTGACCACCAGGTGGGTGACAGTATCACGGGGGGAGGGGAGATTTATAGCCATCCAGTCTGGATTTCTTTGCCATTTGATGGAAATGACAAGCCAATATGGGAGAGGGGAGGCTGTAGCAACAGGAAACTCTGCTCCCCTTTCCCACAAGTCCCACCTCCTCTAACATGCCAAATGCTATAGGACCTATAGCATTTGTACATGGGTCTGCAATAACAGGAGACAAAGCCAGCAAAGTCAACCTCATCCAAACTCCAAGACAATCAGACAGGGGTTGGAGGCTGTTGTGAACAAGGAGGTTGTGAGTTTTCTTTCCTTGTTGGACACCCATTGTATTTTATTGCTTAGTGGCAGGGAGGTGTGGATGGGGGGCAAAGCCTCTTTCTGTTCCCCAGAGGCCAGGCATTTTTAATTATCTCACTCAGGTCCCCTAATACATGTATTGGCCACGTCCCAGAACTGGGGTGAGAATCCAGGAGTCCTGGCTCCCACCCGCCCTGCTCTAACCACCAGCCCCCACTCCTCTCCTGGAGCTGGTGACGGAACCCAAGAGTCCAGAATCCCAGCCTACCCATCCCCCACTCTGGCTATAACCCACTCCACCCCATTCTCTTCCTAAAGACAGGACTCCTGGGGTCTCTCTTCATCTCTGGGACAGAAGTGAAGGCTGGTGCATTAGACCCAGTCAAGACTCCTGGGCCCTGCCCCCAATTTCACCTTTTGACCCATGCACACACTCCTGGGGCAGCCCAACCTCCTAAGGCAGTGATGTCCCTCAGCCTTGTTTGAGTCACCTGGCTACAGCCACCCAGCTGATCCAGCTGTGAGCCATACACAGAATACCTACCTACAGCACTCCTGGCGCAGAGGGGCAGAAACGAACCATAGCTATTGGGGGCAGCCCCCCAGTTCTTCTTGACAGGCAATAACAGGAGCTTGGAAGAACTCAGGAATATTGAGGTGGCCCCTTTGCTGTCACAGTAATTTCTCCTCTTAAGACTTGGGTGTAACTGTTCTCATGGGGAGGGGGGTTCGGCAGGGAGGTCACAAGGAGGCAGTGTAAGGTGTGTGACATGCGGGACCAGTTGTGAGTCGGGCTAGTTGTGCCCCAGCCAGCAGGGGGGCAGTAAATACACACACAGACCAGGGCTCATCCCCTCTAGCAGGGGGCAGCAACTAACCTCTACCTTCCTGTGCACTCTCTTTGGGATGGGCCTGGGGGACATCAGGGGGCGCTCTCTCCTGGTAGGCAGGGCTGGCTGAGGGCAACACTAGGGGGTGCGGTGGGGCAGGGTAGGAAGGGGTGAGAAGCTGGGGGGGGGGCTACTGAGATAGGGGAGGGGAGTTTCCTGTGTCTTCTCTGTGTATTTTGTACAAGAAACTGACACTTTGTATCTCTCTGTATAGCTGTGACATCCCCCCTCCCCCGCAGGCCACATCCTGCCCCCAACCAGCTACACTTGATGGGGCAGGGGAACATGGGCCCCTTTTATCCCCCTCTTTCTGTGTCCATATCCCCCGGGTCTCCTCCCTCTTTCCCCAGCTCCCTTCACCCTCCCTAGTCCCTCTTATTGCCCCTCCCCCTCCATTCCCAACTCCTACTCCCTCTCCTCTCTTTGCCTGTCCCTCCTGTTACTGCCCCTCAAGGCCCCTCCCCCCATTCCCTATTTTCCTCCCCTCGCTCCCTTTTATAGCCCCTGCTTTTCCTTCCAGCCCCTCTCTGCCCCACACCCTGTCCCTGCACTGATAGCAATAAGGGCCCGCTCTGCACCCTCAGGTCCCTGCATGAGAGTCAGCCCCTTCCTGTTGCAATAACTGCCCCAATCTGTCCCCTCCCCCCCTTTGTGCAAAGGGGCTGGGGCTCCCCAGACCTGCACAAGCAAGAGAATAAATCACATTTCTATGAATCTACCCGGCTCCATGTGGCTCTGTGGGACTGTGAGCCAGGATCCAGCTCCGGGATTTATGTATCTCTGAAGGGGGGAGGGGCTGTATGGGATGCTGAGCCAGGATCCAGCTCTGTATTCTACCTGTGTCTTAAGTGGGATGGGGCTGCTTGGGACTCTGAGCTGGGATCCATTGCTGTGGGGGCTGTGCTGACTCCTGTATGGTGCCTGGAATGTACCCCAGTTCCCTGCCCAAGGGGGAGCAAGTTACCTTCCAGCTCTGATCTAGGAGGCTACTGTGTCTAGCTGCAAGGTTATCCATCTCTGGGCCAAGTGGCTGCCGCTTAACTCCATTCTAAGTCACACCTGGATTCAGTTCCAGGCCTTCCAGTTGGCCAGCAAGGAAGACTGGAACCAGCCAGGGTTTTCCTCATCCCCAAGGGAGACTCCAGGCCACAGGGAAATCCAGTTCCAGGCTTCACCTGTCTACTCATCCGCCATCACCCTCTGTCCCCCATTCTCCTGACCCCAACCGCTTTACCCATCTTCCATGCATTGCTTCCTCTACCTATCTCCTCTCCATCTTTCTCTCTCTGCACATACCCCTATCTGTCTGTCTGTCTGTCTATCCCCACACACACCATCTAATCTTATCTATCTATCTATCTATCTATCTATCTATCTATCTATCTATCTATCTATGTGGCCAAGGATCCATCCAGCCAGTGTCCTGTCTGCCGACAGTGGCCTATGCCAGGTGCCCCAGCGGGAGTGAACAGAGCAGAAACCCATCCAGTAATCCAGCCCCTGTCACCCATTCCCAGCTCCTGGCAAACAGAGGCTGGGCCCCCATCCCTGCCCAGCCTGGCTAATAACCACTGAGCAACCTATCCGCATGGACCAGCTGGGCTCTCTGCCCAGCTAAAATCTATGCCCCTCCCCCAGGCTGTGTGTCCGAATGTCCCTGGGGCTCCTTTCCCTCCCCCTGTGAGTTCTGGGTCCCAAAGGGTTAAAGATCTACCCCTAGTCCAGAACAGGTGGTGCCTGCAGTCTGGTGGCCCTCTGGCTTATCCCCACTGTGGGTAAGTGCAGGATGTCCCTTGCCCAGGCCCCAGCAAGAATCAGGGGGCACCTGGCTCAGCTACAGAGCAGGAAATGGGTCCAGAGAGAGATCAGGTTGAGCCATGGGCTATGGGGTGAGGTACAGGGACATGGATTAGAGGTAGGAGTGGAGGTGGTTGGGGTGTGGGATGGATAGATGGTGTGGATACATAGAGGACATGGATGGATGGATGGGGGGTTTGTGGGGGAAGATGATGTGTGGGGATGAATGGATAGAGAGGTTGTCTGGGAATGGATGGATGGATGGATGACTTGCATCACAGAACTGGGGAGGGGGATGGATGATGGCTGTGGATGGAGAAATAGGTGGATGGATGGAAGTGGGGGTTGGATGGATGGACAGAGATGGGGGTTGGATGGGTAGAGAGGTGGATGGATGGATGGAGGCAGGTAGGGGTTGGTTGGATGGATGGATGGACAGAGATGGGGTTCGGATGGGTGGAGGTGGGGATTGGTTGGCTGGATGGCTATGGATGGACAGGTGCAGAGATGGGTGGATGGAGAGGTGGGGGCTGGCTGGCTGGCTATGGTTGGCTGGGTGCAGAGATGGGTGAATGGGGAGGAAGGGGGTTGGGGAGTGCTGGGTTCTCTCTTCAGCTCTGGGAGGGGAGGTTGGTGGGTGACAGCAGGGGGAGGGCCCAGCAGCCTGGCTCCCATCCCTCATGTTCTCACCTCTAGCTCACATCCTCTTCTTCAGAGCTGGGACCCTCGTGACCCCAAACCCTTCAGATTTACCTTGGGTTGTGTAGATCAGCAGATCATCACCTCAATAATGTGGTCCAAGACCACCCCGAGTTGATGGGTTTCCCAGGCTGTCAAATCTCCCCCACCTAGCCCGGCTTGACCCCAGGCATGGTAGCATACCCCCTCCTCCCATGGCAGCATGTCTGCTGGGGGTGGCCAATGTACCCTGTCCAGGGCAGGTGGTGCTAGGGGCTGGAAATGGGGCTGACCAATTCTCAGGCCCCTGGAGAGAAGGAGAAGTGGACACAACTCAGAGGGAAGGTGAATTTGTGTGTCACACATGCCTGTCTCCCCCACCAGAGCCACATAGTGCTGACAGGCCAAACCCCCCTTCCAGGTGGAACAGAACTGAGAAACCAGGACAGATACCAAAATTGAGAGTCCTGGGTTCTCTTCCCTGGCTTTGGGAGGGAAGTGGAGGCTGGTGGGTTAGAGTGGGGGAGCATCAAGGGGCTGGGAGTCCTAGCTCCCAATGCCCCCTGCTTCCCCAGAGACTATCTCCCCCTCTCTGACTACTTGTCCTCTCTCTGAGACCTCTCCCAGCCCCCTGGAACCTCTCCCCCTCTCTACGGTCACCTCCATTCCCTGCAAATTATGGAGACAATCCCCTCCTCCAAGCATTTAATTGCCTACCTCCCAATCCACCAGCTGGACTCCCAATCCATCTGTTCCCTACCCCCCATTCCTCTAAAATTTGTTGTGGGCTGCCAGTCTCCACAGAGTGTCTTCTTCAAAGCGGAAGAGGTTCCAGCCCTCCTTGGCTGTCAGGTTCTCGCTGCCACAACAGGTCAGGAAGCGATTTTCGTTTTCCTTCCACCTGGCTACATGCATGCGGATCTGGCTGCAGCCCTTCTTCAGGGCCACCTGCAGGAGGCAGCAAAGAGAGAAGTGTTAGAGCTACTGCTCTGGGGGGAATCTCTGCTACTGGGAGTGGTGCAGGACGTAGGACACACAGGGGAGTTGAAGAAGGGGCTAGATCCACTGCGGTGGGGAGAATCTCTGCTACTGAGGCAGTGTGGGATATAGGTCAAGTGGAAGTGCAGCTGTTTAGATCAGCTGCTGTGAGGAGAATCTTTGCTACTTGGGACAGTGCAGGGCCAAGGGAAGCTGAGGAAGGGGCTAGATCCACTGCTGTGGAGAGAATCTTTGCTACTGGGGCAGCATGGGGGTAGAGGCACATGAGGGAGCAGAGAGGGGTCAGAGCCGCTGTGAGGTTATCTCTGTTAGTAGAGGGCAATGCAGACCATAGGACACATGGGCTATGTCTACACTACAACACTATTTGGGGATACCAGAGTATCCTGAAGTAGCTATCCCACTTCTTCACAGATAGAACAGGCTTGCTATTCCGACAGCCCTGTAAACCTCATTCCACAAGGAGTAAGGGACCTTTTGGAATAGCGGGTTATTTTGAAATTTGGCGCTGTGTAGAGAGCACCAACGTACGAAATAAGCTATTTCGAAATAAGATCAAAATCAGCTATGCAATTTGTGTAGCTCAGATTGCACATCCTATTTTGCACGTAGGTGCAATGTAAACACACTCATGGAGGAGTATACAGGGAGTAGTTAGATCTGTTATTGTGGTTAGGAATCTCTGCTACCAGAGGCTGGGGCATGGGACACATGGAGGAGCAGGGGCAGGGGGATAGATTTGCTGCTGTTTACAACCGGGACCAGTGTGGGATATAGGACACCCAGGGGAGCAGAGAGAGAGGTTAGAGTGGCTACTAAGGGAGGAATATGCTACTGGGGGCAGTGAAGAGTAAAGGACACATGGAAGAGCAAAGAAAGAGGTTAGACTGCTGTTGCAAGAGAGAATCTCCATTACTGGAGGGCCATGCGGGTTATAGGACACACAGGGAGAGGGTCTGAAAAGGCAGGGGTTGGAGGGCTGGGCTTTCTCTGCCCACTCAACCAAAACCCAGCTAGTCACTGTGATGAAGTGCTGAGTCCTCAGCTGACCTGGCCTGGGACTGATCAGATGGGGATGGGAGCTGATGACCTCAGCTAAGGGGTTTGCCCTGTAGTGCAGATTTGGGGGGGCTCACAGTGGGGTGGGGGGTAGAGATAAGAAGTCCCCTATCCACTGTCATGACCAAAACTCACTTCTGCAGTCTTCTTCATCAGCTGCTTCCCAATCTGCTGACCTAGGGGAACAACAGAGCTAAGCCAGGACTCCTGGGTTCTCTCCCCAGCTCTGGGAGGGGAGTGGGATCTGGTGGTTAGAGCAGGGGGACTGGGAGCCAGGTCTCCTGGGTCCCCCGCCTCGGGCAGGACCCAGCCATACCTCTGAACTCAGGCCGGACATACAGGTTGTCTATGTAGACGTTCCTGCCCTTCCAGGTGCTGTAAGTGTAGGTGGACAGAACATAACCCACGATGCTGTCACCTACCGGGAGAACAGTGGAGCTGTGGGCTGGGGCAGGAGCCATGGGACTCTGGGACTGTGGCAGCCCTGGCAGGAAGAACTGGTGGGGTCTCCACAGACTGATCCACCTCTAGCAGCAGCAACTGGTAGTTGTATGGGGCCCATGACACACAGTGGGGTTAATCGGCATCCTAGCCAGGGTGGGGAAGAGATGCAAACCCTCAGCAGGGGGCAGTGTTTACACATACACACATCCTAGCAGGGGGCCATGTTACACCCCCACTCCCTTCCCCACACCACACACACCAGCAGTAGGCAGTGTTGTACACACACACTTACCCTTCTTGCTATTCTGCCCAGAGGGCAGCTCCGCCACATAACAGTCATACATCGGTTGGGCCCCGAATCCGTCCTCTCTGAGTGCTGGGCCAGGGAAGGAGACACACACATCAGACCCTGTCATCTGTCCCAGGGCTTGGGAAAGGGGGCAAGGGGTGTGCAGGGCCGGGGATCTCTGCCAACCACCCTCATTGTGAGGAACCCCAAGTCCCCATACATCTTGCTCTGCTAAGACCTCCCCCCCTGCTCCTCTGCTAGGGCCCCTCTAGCCCTCTCTGCCAGTCTCTCTCCCAACAGGCTCTTACCTTCCAGGGTGACTTTCAAATGGGCTGGGGGGACTTTGTAATCGATGGCAATCACCTGCAACAGACAGCACCTCACTGAGAAACCCAGAGCTGCCGCTGACCCCTGCACCCCAGCACTCCCTCCCCACCATGGCCAGTCCCCTGAAAACCCCTCCCCCTCTCCCCACTTCTCTTTGCTTCTGCAAGATCAGAGGTATCCAGGCTCCAGACACCTGGGTTCTCTCTCCAGCACTGGGAGGGGAGCAGGATCTGAAGGAACGGGTCCTTCACACTTACAGCTAGACCCCAGAGGCGGGGATAAAAACAGTTGTCCCCAGTTTGCTTAGATGAGTTCAATGTTCAGTTGATGGAGCTGTGCTTTGCTGTGTCCTTTGGCTGCTGTGGTGTTACCAAGTACATCAATACTAAAGCTTCAGAGGGGTAGCCAAGTTAGTCTGTAACTTGAAAAACTTAAAAAAAACGAATAGTCTAGCAGCACCTTAAAGACTAACAAAACATGTAGATGGTATCACGAGCTTTTGTGGACACAGTCCACTTCTTCAGATGCACGGAGCATTAAAAGTCCGGTTCCAAAATAAATAGGGGAATTGGCAGGGGCAGAAAAGGAAGGGAGGAAATGGTGATTTAGAGTGTTCATGTTACATGAAGCTAATAGAGAAGGTGCACATTGTTCTTAAGTACCCATTGATTGGCTGGTTAAGTCATTAGGATGTGGAAGGGAGTGTGCCAGCCAGTGATGTCTTTATTCATACCTTTGTGATGGGTCCTAAACTTGTTAATGAAGTTAATACTAACCACAGGAATGGGGCTCACCAAGGCTTGCAATTGTTGTGGGACTAAAGACTCTGACCTAGTGCAAAGGAGGGAGACCCTGCCAGAGTGAAGAACCTCAGATGGACAAAGGCTCCAGGCTCAGAGCTCTGTGAACTCAAGAGGGGAGGGCAGGAGTCAGCAGGGTACAGGCCCTCCACCTGTTGGCTGTAAGACTGGCTCAGCCTGTTGCTCCCTTGTCTCTAGAGCAGAGCTAAAATAGGCTCCATAAGGAGGGTCTTGTTGTAAATTTACACCAGTGGTTGCTGACATTTCTTGTGGGGGACTGTGCTCTGTGCCGAGAGCTGAAATCACTTGTGTTAGCACTGGGGTTTGCCCAGAGCCAAATTCACCAGCAGCAATGGGTGGCTAGTAGGAGTGTTGGCCAGCACGGCAGTGCAACAAGCAGCCAGCAGTGCAGCAGTGGGGAGGTGAGACAAACAGCCAGCAGGACAGCAGTGGGGTGGTGTGACAAGCATCCAGCAGGGCAATGGTGGGGAGGTGCAACAAGCGGTTGGGAGGTGTGACAAGCAGCCAGCAGGACAGTGGTGGGGAGGCCCAACAAGCGGCCAGCAGGGCAGCGTTGGAAAGGTCAACAAGCAGTTGGGAGGTTTGACAAGTGGCCAGCAGGGCTGTGGTGGTGAAGCGTGACACAGGGCCAGCACAGCAGCAGTGGGGAGGTGCAATAAGCATGGGGAGGTGTGACAAGCATCCAGCAGGACGGCAGTGGGGGAAGTGCAACAAGTAGTGGAGAGGTGTGACAAGCGTACAGCAGGGCGGCTGTGGGAAGGCGCAACAAGCAGCCAGAAGGACAGACAAGCGTACAGCAGGGCGGCTGTGGGAGGCGCAACAAGCAGCCAGCAAGGCGGCAGTGGAGAGCAGTAAAGAGGTGGATGAAGAGTGACCAGTGAAGTAAGATGCCTCTTTTCCTCCTCCCACCTGGAACAGGAGCTGAGCTCTGGGTCTGCACCAGGCTCTCTAATCTTTTTCATCCACTTGTGGAATAAATGTTCTATGTGCACCAAAACATGTGCAGATGTGCACCACCAGGAGAAACACAAACCCAGCTGTAAGCGCTCGGCTAGGTGGCATTTGAATCTTTCCTGAGCAGCTGCCCAAGTGCTCAGCTTATAGGAAACACTGGTCTGCACTGACCAAGGGCAGTGAGTAAGAGGGTTGAAGAGTGGGGTTGGGCGTGTGACAGGCACATGTACAATCCTGGCCCGAGGAGGACACTGCCACACCTACTTGGGGTGGGACTGTTACTCACGGTTTATGTTTAGTAGCCCTGTTTGTGGTGTTTTGCCAAATCAAGGCCAAGTTACTTCCCTCCCTTTTATTAAAAGTTTCTTTTCTACACTCAGATTCTGCTTGCGAGTGGGGAAGCATCGCCCCTCTGAGGCACCCAGAGGTGGAGTGTGAATTCCCCAGGTTACTGGGTGGGGGTTCAAGCTGGTTCTGTGTTGGATGGATGGGGAGGAACCCCTAGATCAGGGGGTGGGTAATCTATGCCCACCCTGCTCCTTGGCCTCCCTCCCGCCCTGACTCCGCACCCCTCCCCCACTCTGCTCCTGCCCTCCCTACTGCCCAAACCCTGCACCCCATCCCACTCCTGCTCCCCCTCCCGCCCTGACCCCGCACCTTCTCCCCTACCTTGCTCCTGCCCTCCCTCCTGTTTTGACCCCTCCCCACTTCCCCACCCTGTTCCTGCCCTCCCTCCTGCCTGACACCACACCCTCACCCAACCCTGCATCCCTACTGTCAAGACCCTGCATCCCCAGCCCACCCCTGCACCCCCTTCCACCCAGATCTCACACACTCACCCCATTCCAGCCTTGGGGGTGAGCCCTGACCCTCAGCGCCCCCCCACATACTTTGGGGCTGGAGCTTGAGGGGAGTGTCTTTTTTTCCTGCTTCCCAGTTGGGGGCCAGGTCAGTGGAGTTTGGGGTTTTTGTTTTCTATTTCCCCACCCCGCCCTAGATATTGAACTTGGCCTTGGCTGCAGCAGGCTCCCCCTGCCAGAAGGGTTACTGTTAGAGCAGAGGGGGAGTGGGTTTGTTGCCAGGACTCCTGAGCTCTATCCCTAATCTGATCTCTCGCACACCGGGCAGTGTTTCAGGGCTGGGAACCACCCCTTACCTTGATGAGCTGCAGAATGACCTTGCAGTCCTTCACCGTGCACGGCCGGATGATGCAGTTCATGATACCAGGGCTCTCCTCTGCCTTTTTCTCTTCCCAGCCCTGGGACTCCTGCTATCCCTTTAAGACCAACAGCCCAAGGGAGTGGGGCTGCACAAATAGAGGGAGGAGTTGTGTCCAACCCCAGAGCCACAAGTGGCTATGAATCAGTTCCTCCCAGCACCAGGAGGGGGCACCTGGCAGGGAGCAGTCATCCCACTTCTGCCCCCAAACAGTGGATCCAACCGCTCACACCAAGCTATGTCTAAATTACAGGCACTTGGGGCCTGAGAGTAGGTGACTCCGCACATAGGGCACTTGGAGGGTGGGTTTAGGTCTGCAGCCACAGCTGGGTTTTGATGGATGAAAGAGGGCCAGGCCTGGGGGGTTATGGAGAGTGAGGAAGGTGAGTGTGTGCAGACGGAAGGGAAGCCAGGACTCCTGGATACTCTCCCTAGCTGCGGGATGGGAGCAGGGGCTGGTGGGTTAGAGCAAGAGGGGGCTGGAATTCAGCCACAAGAAAGAGAACCCAGGAGTCCTGCCTTCCCTTGCCTAGGAGCTGGAGTCTGCCATTAGTGTGTAAGGACCCAAATGGGGGCCAAGGGTGAGTCTTGGGCAATCCAGAGCTCTCGAGCATCACAGGACATGTCAGTGCTGTACCTTGACCCCCTCCAATCCCCACCACCCTACAGGCAAAGGCCCCACTGCAGTTAGGAGAGTAGCAGACAAGTTCTACCTCCTGCTGAGCCAGCTAGTACCTGCCCTGGGGCCAGGTGGGGAGCAAGTGCGCCCTAGAGGGGACAGGCTCAAGCCCAACCCCATTCCTTGCCTTTTTGAGCCAGCCAGATGCTGCCCCGAGGCCAGGTGAGAGCTGGCAGCCCCTAGCAGGGCCTCAGTGTCTGGCGCCCAGAGGCCAGGTGAGAGCTGGCAGCCCCTAGCGGGGCCTCAGTGGTTCTTTTCAATTTGGAGTCAGCAGATTCCAATGTAAAACTTGAGCTGATGATTAAAGGACCAAATCTTGGAGGCAAACCTGCAGGGAAGGTGTAGGGGGGTACAGAGACAATCCTCCAGCTGGCACCAGGACTCATAGCCTGACTACCAGACCCAATCATCTTCCCCCTCTCTGGCCCACCAGCCCCCACTCCCCATCTCACAGCTGCGAAAACCAGCTGATCATCAGCTGGTTGGCAGAGCGCGGCAGCCATTTACATTTATATGAAGCCGTGATTATTTAAATCGCGGCTCCATTTCCCTCTGCCGATTAGCCTAATCTACATGGCTCCATCCACGGAGCCATGTAGTTTAGAAACACCCCAGGAGTCCTGGGTCTCAGTAACACATGTCCCTCCCCCCACCAGTAGACACCGGATTAAATGAAGCAGAATGACCTTGTTTTACTGTAACCAAAAATCTAGGATTTATTGAAACCCAGAAAATAAGCCTCAAATACCTTACAGCTCTCTCTGAATGTTAGAGGCAGAACTGACTCCATCTCATCCCCAGCAGGTGTGAACATGATTTGGAGTGACTCCGGATTCACACCACTGTCCAATAGAGCAGAGGCCAGACCCCAACACCAGGGCGCATCCCAGACCATACAGAAGCAAAGGGACAGCGGCGGTGGGGTCCCGGGGAGGAGGGGCTCATGGGAAGGGGTGCAGGGGAGGCAGGTTGCAGCTGGCGTCCAGGAAAATGGTGAGGGTCCCAACACTGGTGAAGGTGATGAAGGTCCAGAGGAAAAGACGGTCCACCACCATGGCCACGTACTGCCAGTCTTCTTTGAGCTGGGGGGAGGGGGCAGGAGGCATGAGGGAGCTGGTCCTTGGCACCCTTAACTCTATGCTCCATGGGCACGACTAGTGACCCATTACCTAGTCCCACTGACCCTCCTGAAGCCTTCCCACCACCTCTATGTCTGGCCATTGCCCTCCTTAGCTCTGCCCACAGTGGCCCCCAAGCCGTGTCAATTGGCCCCTAAGCCTCCCCCACTGCCCATTATGCTCCTTACACCCCTCGCCCTGGGTAGGGTCAAGCAGCCCCACAGATAAACGAACTCCAGACCCAGGGAGGAGGGTTGGGGCTGAGGCTAGAGCCAGAGTCCACTGGTGATGGTCAGCTGGCCAACCCCACTGTGAGGAAGTGCGGGAGCTGTGGGGGGGCTGAAGGGGCTGCCTGCAGAGCTGTTGGCACTCTGTGTCCCCGGCGGTTACTGGTTTAACCATGGGAAGGGGAGGGAGTTTGTTGTTCCAGGGACCAGCACAGAACTGGAGCCCCTCAGTGACTAGTGACCGGGACACCCAGCTGGGATGGCACAGCCGAGTCTGGCCAGTGGGAGGCCAATGGGCTGTGGGGAGAGGACCCCGGGGACCTGCCCAGCTGGTCCCAGCCAGGGAGAACAAAAGGTGGAGGAGGGGGGAGGCAGGGAACAGAGGGGTCCGGGAGACTGTTAACCTGGACAGAGGCCAGGGAGGGGCTGCTGGGGAGGGATTTGGGGGCTGGGCTGGGAGGAGGGGGCTGCTGGCCTGGGCAGGGGGAGCAGGCAGAGCCCACCTGGCTGCAGGGGAGACTCAGACGTGCTGGGCTGAGGGGGGCCAGGCCTACAGGCCTGAGAGTTCCTGTGCTGGGTTCAGTGCTCAATGAACCCTCCTGTGTGCCGCTGGCAGAGAGTCGCTCCGGTCTGAGAACAGGGCTGCACTGGCCCCCCTGCGAGTGGAGGCCCCGGGGGCCCAGAGTGAGTGGACTCCCTGAGGGGCCCAGGGCAGAGCCAGGCGCGCTCAAGGCTATAACAGGCGTCAGCCCAAGAGGCAGAGGCGCAGACCCCTGGAAGAGAATGGACTCCCCGAGAAGGGGCCGCTGCACAGTTGGGGGTTCTGCCCGGGGATCACATGGGCTATGTGTGGGCACCACCTGGGAGACTGTGACACTCACTCACCGTGTCATAGTCCTCCTGGTCCTGGAGCTGCTGGGCGATGTAGGTCACAGCGTCCATGGCGGACTTGAGGTCAAGCGGCAGGACGAGGCATTCGCTCGGCCCATCGATGAACCGGCGCAGGTCCTGCAAGAAGGGATCCTGGTAGAATCTGGAAGGTTAACAGGAGAGAGCCGTGAAGCCCTACACAGCGCCCCCTACTGAGCCCCCTCCTTGTTCCACAGTCCTACTGTTGCCCTGGGCCAGCCCTGCCTGCCAGGAGAGAGCGCCTCCTACTGAGCCCCTGCCCTACTCCCTGCCCCACAGCGTCCCCTAGCACCACCCTGGGCCAGCCCACTGCTCAGCCCCTGCCCTGCTCCCTACCCCACTGTGCCCCCTGGTGCCACCCTGGGCCTGCCCTGCCTGCCAGAGAGAACACCCCCTGCTGAGCCCTTGCCCTGCTCCCTGCACACAGAATTCCCATCTGACCTGCTTGGCTTGGGGAAGAGGAAGTCACAGGTGGGTTTGCGAATGAAATATTCGTCTGTGCTCCGGTTGCTCTTTACCACTAATTCCCGTTTGGAGGCTGGGGGAGGTTTCAGGATGGGCTCTGGTTTCGGACGCTGAAGCCCCAGGTAACGCGGGAGCTGATGAATGAAAATCTGCCCAGGAGAGAGAATCCAGAACCTCCCATTAGCTCCATCTCTGGGGCCAGGTGGGAGCTGACACCCCCTTCTAGAGGGAACAAGCCCCATGCCCAATTTCCTGCCCCCTGCCCTAGGGCTAAGGAGGGGTGTGTTACCTGCCTGACCCAGAAGGGCATGTCATGGGTGTTGGGCGAGCGGTGATGCAGGTTGAGGACCACCACACTGAGGATGACGGAGAAGGTCACTAGGATCATGGTGAACATGAGGTATTTGACAATGATGGGCACGGCCAGCGAGGTCTCTGGCACCTTGTCTGCCAGCAGCAGCAGGAAAACGGTGAGGGTGAGCAGAGCGAAGATGGAGAGAGTCATCTTCTCCCCTGGGCAGAGGGAGCAGAACAGGCATCAGCGAGGGCAGCGGGAAGACTGGGAGACTTGGGCCCATCTGGCCTGTCCTCTGGTTCCTCTCTCGAGGGAGAGTGGATTATGGGGCCCATATAGCATGACTTCTGGTCTTCTCAGAAACAGGGTAATCCAAAGACCATCTCACATGGCCTCTTATCTATCCCCAAGGACAGAGGATTTGGGCCCATCCTGCATGGCCTCTGGTCTTCTCATGGAAAACGGTATCCCAAGGTCCATGTAGCACGGCCACAGGTCTCTGCAGGGAGAGGGGAGTCCAGTGCCCATCTAGCATGGCCCTCTGGTCTATCCCCAGTAACAGGGGATTGTGGGTCCCATCTAGCATGGCCTCTAGGTTGCCTAGGTGCTCAACTACGATGAACTAAGGTCTCCTAAGGAAGAGAGGAATCCCAGCATTGGATTCCTCAGCCCCCTGGAAAGGGGACGATTCCTGGAAGGAGTGAAAAATCTGGCACCAGATTCCCACCCTCTTGGAATAGGTCCAATCCCCCTCCTTCTCTCCAGCACCAGGGGCAGCCTGTGTCCATCTGCCTGGCACCCACCGGCATCAGGGGGCAGATAGAAAACGAAGATGGCCAGGATAGTGATGAGAATGCAGGGAATAATGACGTTGATGATGTAGAAGAGTGGCCTGCGGCGGATGATGAGGTAGAAGGTGATGTCCTCATGTTGTAACTCCCCAGGCAGTGTGTTGCGCCGTGCAGGCTTGTGCCGGATCTCCCACTGCCCATTGTCTGGAGAGCAGAGAGAGGGGTTAGGGCTGAGGAATGCCAATCCAGAGTCACCTCATTAGAGGTGGCAAGGGAGAGGGAAGGGAACAGGGCCCCGAGACAGATGGTGGCAGTGGTGGGATGTACACCCAGATTGCACATGTGAGTTGTGTCTTTCTGTCAAGTAACTGTGTGTGTTCGCGTGTGTGGAAGAGTGCATGGCTGGCTGCAAGTGTAATGACTCTGTGTTGAATTGTGTGTGTGTCGCTGTGTGTGTGGTGGTTGTTTGTGTTGTCATGGCTTTATGTGTGTGGCTGTCTGTACAGCTGTGGTCCTTCTGCTTGTGTGCTGGCTTTGTGTGTGTATCGCTATGTGTGTTTTGTGTGCACATCACAGTGAGGGGGTTTTGCTGTGTGTGTATGTTGTGGCCATGTGTGTGATACTGTGTGTGTGTGTAGCTGTGTGTTGTGGTTATGTGTTTGTCCTCATGCACATTGCTCTGTGTGTGTTTGACAATGTGTGTAAGTAGCTCTGTTTGGGTGGGTCCTCATGCACATTGCTCTGTGTGTGTTTGACAATGTAAGTAGCTCTGTTTGGGTGGCTGTGTTACTCTGTGTGTTGTGGTGGCATGTGAGATATGGCTGTGTGTATGTGTTCCTCTTTGTGTGTGTAGCTCCATATGTGCTGAGGTTGCACATGTGTAACACATGGCTGTGTGTCTCTGTGTCTTTGTGTGTCAGTGTTGTGTGTGATGTATGGTTCTGTGTGTGTTGTGGTCACATGTGTGGTTCTGGGTGTAGCTCTGTGTATGATGTGTTTGCGTGTGAGTGACTGTGTATATGTCTTGAGACATGGTTGTGTGCATGTAGCTCCATGTGCGTGTCTGTTTGTGATAAATGGCTGTGTATGTGGTGTGGTTGTGAATGCCTGGCTCAGTCTGTTTGTGAGACATATAGATGACCGTGTGTAGCTCTGTGTGCGAGTACCTGTGTATGTACTGAGGTTGTGCATGTGTGACTCTGTGTGTCTGTAAAGGTGTGCGTGTGTGTTGCACTGTGTGTAACTGTGTGTTTGTGTGTCGCTGTATGTGTGTAGTCATCTGTATACATGTATAGTTGTGTGGGTAGCGCAGTGTGTCTGTGTATATATGTGCATGTAGCTGTGTGTGTATGTAGTTGTACATGTAGCCATGTATGTGTGTGTGTATCCATGTGAGTGTGTAGCTGCATTAGTGCAAATAAAGATGTGTACAGCTGTGTGCGCACTTGGGTTGCTGCATATGGATGTGTGTGTACCATGAGCATGTGCACGCATGTGTGTGTAGCTGTGTGTAGCCATGTGCATGTATGTAGCTGTATGCCTGTGTAGCTGTGCACATGCATGTGTAGCTGCGCGCGTGTGTGTGTAGCTGTGTTGGTGCGTGTGTAGCTATGCGTATACGTATGTAGCTGTATGCAAGTGTAGCCGTGTGCATGGTGGACACTCACCGATGAAGGTGTTCTCAAAGATGATGATCTCCTGCACCTCACGCCCCGCCTCATCCAGCGGGTGCAGCAGGCCCAGCTCGGTTGCCCCATAGGCGTAGGACTGGAACACCATGCTGCAGTTCTGCCAGTCGAAGGGGAAGTAAGTAACCTGGGGGGAGAGACACCATTGACACAGCACCCCCTGCTCAGACCTCCACAGCACAGCACCCCCTGCTGGGCCCCCTCTACCCCGCACAGCACAGCACCCCCTGCTGGGCCCCCTCAACCCCTCACAGCACAGCGCCCCCTGCTAGGCCCTCTCAACCCCTCGCAGCACAGCGCCTCCTGCTGGGCCCCCTCGACTCCTCAAAGCACAGTGCCCCCTGCTGGGCCCCTTCTACCCTGCACAATACAGCGCTCCCTGCTGGGCCCCCTCTACCCCTCACAGCACAGCGCCCCCTGCTGGACCCCCTTTATCCCCCACAGCAAGTACCCCCTGCTGGGCCCCCTCTACTCTGCACAATACATCACCCCCAAGTGGCCCCCCTCT